CTTTGTATTTTTCGATTCGAGCCTCTAGCGAAAACTTACGGCTTGGCGATATCCGTACGCGCCACTCTACCGTCGTCGTCGCGCCAGCCCTGAGCCCGCAATGCTCCATCTGTCTTGTACCATCACATGTCGGGCCGTCGGGGTGCTGCTTCTCTGTGATGTAATTTCGCTGCGACCTTGACTCGTGTGCCGTTCATTGTGAGACCGACACCCAGCGCGCTGGCACACCATTTGCACTACTACGTAGGCCCGCGCAACCGCTTTGCGAGGTGGCAACGTCCAACGCGCTCGGCCTGGCCGTTGATCATCGAGTTTACCGGCCTTGCGCATCGCCATTTCCATGACAGCAATGCGAATGAAATTCGAGTTCTCACGTGTCTCGCGCTGTCGCATACCCCCGGGAGGGTAGGAGAATGCCGTCTGCTGGGGCGATTGCGCCGGGGGTTGGTACGGGGCTGCCTGTGACGAAGAGAGCGAAGTAGTGGGGTAAACGATGCGAGTCGGCGATGGCGATGCGCTGCGAGAACGCTGGACCTTGTACGTTTGCATCTGGATGGATGCAGTATAGGTCCTCGTAGGCGAGAGGGTGGCGGGATGCGTTTCGAGCCGGGCGCTCGTCGTGGGGTTGAGATAACGACGGAGAGCAGCCGACGGCTCCTCCTCCAGGACTGGAGGGCGGCGCTCATCGGTATAAGGAACCTTAGGATCGATGGTCAGGATTGAGCGGGTGAGAAAGTCGTCCGGAGGAATGGACGGTAGGTTGAGGGCCGAGATAGACCTGGCCGCCGATTTCAGGGCACGAAGGGAGGCAGTGAGGTTGGACTTGAAAGCCGACTTGAGGGGACGTAGAGGAAAGGCAAAGTCCGAAAAGGCCAGCTCAGAACGGGAGTCCTCACTATCCTGGGGCTCTGCGAGCTCGTCGTAGTCCAGGGAGTCTGACGAGTCCTCGTCGGACATGGACAGAGGGTGATCCTCGCACATGCCACACGGCGAGGAAACAGGCTCGAGAGATCGCCTGGGTTGCTGCGAACGTTTCCTGCGCACGCGCATTGTGGAGTGAAAGGGGGTCTCGATGGACGAGACTCCGTCGGTCGCAAAAGAGTCGCCTAGAGAAGGGATCGAGTCCATCGAGATTGTCCTAGTCGAGAAGGCAGAGCCGACGCCGCTGCCACTGAGAATCGACATGTTTTCGTCGTCGCACATGTCCTCGGGAGGAGACAAGAGGAGATCCATGGGGCTCCGGTCCAGAGTCAGGCTGAGCTCCTTCTCGGAGACCTGCTGGCGTTCGATAATGGCCTCGAGTGTCAGAGACTGATCCTTCGAGATTCGCCTTGACCTCCGCTGCCGAGGACGAGGGATGTCGGTGACAGCCAGCAGAGCGGCCATGGCAGCGGGGATAGAGTCAGGGTCGTGGACGTCCCGCGGACGTGTCGCCTTTCTCTGACCATGATGACGGTGGTTCCGGGAAGATAAACCCTTTGTCTTTGAGGCGGGGATCTGAACGGGACTGGTAGGCGTCGTGGGCCTCGTGCTCAGGCTGGTGGTTGTCTGGGGCGGGCTCGAAGGCGAGAGCCTCGTTGTCTCGTGGGTAGACTTGCGTTTCGACATGGCGTGTGGGGCGCTGTGTTCAGTAGCAGAGATGGGCTCGACGGTAACGGTAACGTCCTGAGCATACTTTCTCTGCTGCGAAGAAGAGGAGGCTGCAGGCGAGCTGGGAAAGAAAATGTCCGAGTTGTGTGGTTTGCGGTGGGAAAGAATGGTGGCAGGAGGGCTCGAAGCTGGGGAGGGAGAAATCGGGGGCGAGGGGAGGTTGTGTTGTAGGCGTTTGGTGGGTGTATGAAGTGGCTGTGGGTGTTGCTTGGAGTAAAGGAAACTCCTCGGGGACATCATGCTGACTGACTCGATAACCCTGGCCCCGGGCGGAAGGGCGGGGGCATGCCGGACAAGGATGGGACAGGGCCTAAGGCTAAGGCAGAGCGGGACGCGTTTGCGCCAAATAGGGGACCTTCTGTTCTGGCTCTGGATGTTCCGGGGGCTCGTATACCGCTGATGCAGCGCGACACTTGGGCCCAGGGGCGTTTGGGTCTAGGGGGGTTTCCGTAACGTAACGACTGTTCAAAGGCAGCAAATCAGGGTCGTCCGAAATGAACCGGTTTGTGCAGTCGCTGATCCCACGATTGTTCCTACAGGACCAGACAGGGAGACAGTAGCTCTGCTAATGACTATGACGCAGGGCCGCTGGTGGTGCTGGTCAATGAAGGTTCAGGAGCTC